TCCCAATAATGCATTGTTAGATGATCTCTGGAACAGGTAAAGCTGCAGCACATTTGCCATGTTGAAATGGAGAGATTCTGCAGCCTTGGACAAAGGACAGTCTGCCTAGGGCTGCGCTCCTCAACTTAGCATGCAAATCCTCAGTTGAGAAGCTGTTTAAAATTCTAGGTTTCTTCCTTATCTGATTCACTAGGGACCTAAGGATATGGGTCCCAAGCACCCTAAGGGATTCTGAAATGGACGGTTTCAGAACCACACTCTGAGACACACTGGATTGGGAACAATGGCAGAAACGTGCATAGAACGATGGTGCAATGGAGGTCAAAGCATGCTCTGGAGAAAGTGCATGCAGCTGGGGGGTTGCCATCCACGAGGCTGGCCCAGAGTTGGGACTGGGCATTCCTCAGCTCTTCTGTAACAGAAGCACTGGTGGTCAGGCCAGCGAGCCCCACGAAGTAGCCCCATCCTTCTTGATGGCCGGCCTGAGCATCACCCACACCCACATACCAGCGAGGGGCCATCCACCAGATGGTTCCCAGTGAAGCCAGCGTTCTGAAGTGTGGTAGAAAGGCCCCTTTGAGCTGTCCCCTTCCTGTGTTGCTGCTCTATGTGTTTATTTAGACACCTATACCCGTACTTCATTCCAAAAACATTAGCAGGGGGAGTTTTTTTTGTGTGTGTGTTTTTAGGTAAACTAATTTATTTATTTATTTATTTATTATTTTATTTTGTCGATATACAATGTGGTTGATTATTGTGGCCCATTACCGAAACCTCCCTCCCTCCTACCTCTCCCCCCTCCCTCCCAACAACCTCATATCTGTTCACTTGTCGTATCAATTTCAAGGAATTGTAATTGTTGTTTCTTCTTCCCTTTCTTCCCCCCCACCCCTGGTTATTTTGTGTATTTATTTATTTATTTTTAGCTCCCACCAATAAGTAAGAACATGTGATATTTCTCTTTCTGTACCTGACTTGTTTCACTTAATATAATTCTCTCTAGGTCCATCCATGTCGTTGCAAATGGCAGTATTTCATTCTTTTTTATAGCACAGTAGTATTCCATTGTGTAGATATACCACAATTTCCATATCCACTCTCCTGATGATGGACATTTGGGCTGGTTCCAACTCTTAGTTATTGTAAATAGTGCTGCAATGAACATTGGGGAACAGGTATACCTTCAACTTGATGATTTCCATTCTCCTGGGTATATTCCCAGCAGTGGGCTAGCTGGGTCATATGGCAGATCTATCTGCAATTGTTTGAGGAACCTCCATACCATTGTCCATAGAGGCTGCACCATTTTGCAGTCCCTCCAACAATGTATGAGAGTTCCTTTTTGTCTGCAACCTCACCAGCATTTATTAGTCACAGTCTTTTCGATATTAGCCATCCTAACAGAGGTGAGATGGTATCTCAGTGTAGTTTTGATTTGCAT